ACCGTGACCGAGAGGGGGAGAGGGCGGGTTCAGGGAGAGGGAGTCGAACCCCCCCCCCCCCCCCCCCCCCCGGCTGCTGCCTCCACAGCTGCTGGGGAACCGTTGAGTTCCTTCTCACTCATGGAAAGGAACTCGACGGCGACCGGAGTCTGTAGAACTCAAACGACCCGCAGAGAGGTTTGTTGGTGTCTCACAGGGAGGAGGTCGTGGGTTCGACTCCCAGTTTGACTCCACACTTCAGTGTCAGTGGCAGAACTTCCAGCTGCTTCTCCTCGAACGCCGCGAAAGAAATAAATTGTTGTCGAAATGTTTGGGGATTCGAACCACATTTTAATTGGAGGTCAAACTGGAGCAGGTCACGTGACCTTAGCCCGACCATGTGACCAATCAGTTCCATTAGTTTATAGACACGTTCATACTAATATTACCGCTTCATTCTCATAAAACAACGACTTAAATCTTTTATTCTCGTGCGGCCGTGACACTCGCTCTCAGAGACCACAGACGGGCCGAGCCCCACAGCTTTAGCCCAGTCACTGAGTGAAGCTGAACTGCAGCTCTCTGTGCCGTCATGTGGCTACAGCGGCATCTGAACGGCGGTCAAGGGACAATTAACTTTTTTTTCCTCCTGCAGCGTCCTCCGACACGGCGGTGGGCCGACATTCTTCAGGCCTGTGAAAGAACCATTTGTCACCGTCGACAGCCCATCCACTGTACCACCGCGCCAATTAGGCTCAAGGTGCAATTCAATACGGCTTTTATATACACAGTGGATAAGAGGCAGGGCGGGGGGCAGGAGAGGGGCGGTGGAGGGGGGGGCATATGGCTCTGCATTTTTGTGTTTGTGTCCGGATGACTGAGGAGGGTGAGCGTGCAGGCGTCCCTGTGTGTGTGTGTGTGTGTGTGTGTAAATGTGGGAGACAAAGTGGGAGACACTGTGACGGTGGGGGACGGAAAAAGGTCTGAAAAAAAAAAAAAAAACAAAATCCTTGAACTAACACAGAGAAAGAGTCGTTTTTATCAGTACCAAACATACGGCCCGTGGGCCAAAACTGGCCCGCTATGCTGTTCATGCCGGTCTGCTTGATGAATTTCAAATTTTTTTGAAAAAATACACAAATGTTTTTTTATATATTTTTTGTACATTATTATTATTATTCCATCAAATATGAATAAATAATAATAATAAATATCTAATATACTTGTACTTTTTGGATGTAAACAAAGGGCGAAAATCGGAGTCGGGGACAACGGACGGAGAAAATTGGATGAATAAATAACTGACGACTAAAAATAGAACCAGGATTTTGGGCCGTGATTTAAGTCGTGGCTCGCAGCCCTCTGCCTGTTCATTAAGAGTTTACACGTTCAGACGACGCCACCTTCCTCCTGGTCGTCTGATTGTCCAGTCGTCGGGTCATCAGGTCGGATTACGACAGAGAGAGAGCGAGAGAGAGAGAGAGGTTGAAAGTGCAACTATTGATCAGTTCCACTGAACGCTGTGAACAGACGGAGGCATCACATGCTCGTCACCAGACTTCACTAATTCAGAGCCCACTTAATGTTCTCATTAGCTACAGTGACCTCTACAGGACGACAGAATTATTTATTACTTCATGCATACTTCACAAATCGACATGACGACGTTGTTAAAAAACAAAAACAAAAAACAAATCACAGGCATCCTGGGACTTTTTTAAAAATGTTGCTAGCATGTTGCTAGCAACTCCCCGATGTCAACAAATGAAATCAACTAAAATAACCCACAGATAACAGTGGGGGTCGTGGGGGGTCAGTCTGGATGTTTGTTTTCTTTAGGGCTCGGTGCCTAAGGGGTCGTTAGCAGTTGTCACAACAGACAAACCATGTAACGATGTAATGTTTTTCAACAAATGCAGGATTTCCTGATTGCGATTTGTGTCTCGCGTCTGACCCAAAAGATACCGTAACGTGATGATGTTGTGGTGATATTGTTGATGTTGTAGTTAAATACCGGAAAGGCGCGGGCGCAGCAGCAGCAGCAGCAGCAGCAGCAGCAGCAGCAGCCAGAGGAGACACGGGTTAAAACCCGTCTGGAGTCTCCGTGCTTCGTGCACCGGTACAGTTTATTCAGGACATGTGTGCCGCGCTCAAAGGCCTCTCCTGGTCAGATAAGCGTGCGGAATGTTAAGTCTTCAGACACAGGTGCTTCTTATGAAACAGGAGGGACTCTTTAGATCTGGGGTGTCCAACATAGGGCCCGCAGGCCAAAACGGGCCCGCTAAGGGGGTTCATTTCGGCCCACTTGAAAACGTTTGAAAGGAAAAATAAAAAAAAAAGCATCTTTTGTTTGTCAAGACTTATTATTATCCCAGAGGTGAAGCTAACGTTGTATCAGGTGTCTTATCTCCACAGGACATTAAACTCAGCAGATCGTAGTCATAGAGTCCGTGTGAATGAGCTCAGTCGTCTGTTAAGAAAAACAATGGCTCTGTGAAAACCACGATA